GCGACTCGATCCTAGATAGGGTTTGAGTTCGACTCATGACTGAGTCTCTCGTGAATAGTCATTTGAGACAGGGTTCTCAATACCGCTCTAGTCATACTAGGTTTGATAACATCGCTCTAGATATTTAGCCAGCGTGGAGTACTTCCAGTTACTAGATCCATGCTAGACAAACCTTCCACGCGTTCCGTTTTAGGATCATGGAGATACGTAGGATTACTACCGCAACCTACTCTATCACACTTTATAGTCTCCGCGGGAGGCCAGATCTACGATCCCTGATGATGATCTCTCTCGTTGATTAGTTTCATAGCTTCTAATCTCTCTCATAACTTTCATTCTCTCAAACTCAAAACACTCGAAAGATCTTTACACTAGCTTTTAGCGTAGTGCACTACTGGATCACTCGAGAAGGAATCCAACCCGTAACCAAGAAAATAGATGCGATCCAGAATATCGCTCCTCCTACGAATAGGAAGGAACTCCGTAGATTCATTGGACTGGTGAACTACTATCGAGACATGTGGATCAGACAATCACATGTACTAGCACCACTCGCTACACTTACTTCCAAAACCAAGAAGTGGAAATGGGAAGCTGAACACGACAAGGCCTTTCGCCAGATGAAGAAAATCATCAGCAAAGAAACCTTGCTCGCTTACCCTGACTTCAACGATACATTCGTTATACACACGGATGCAAGTGATACGCAACTGGGTGCAGTGATTTCCCAGAAGGGAAAGCCTATCACGTTCTACAGCAGGAAACTTAATCCCGCTCAAACACGCTACACAGTAACTGAGAAGGAACTTCTCAGTATCGTTGAGACTCTCAAGGAGTTCCGTAACATTCTTCTCGGGCAGAAGATTGTAGTACATACGGACCACAAGAATCTCACCTGCAAGAATTTCAATACCAATCGCGTTATGCGATGGCGCCTTATTCCGGAAGAATACGGCCCTGAACTTCGGTACATCAAGGGCGAACACAACATCGTCGCTGATGCGTTGTCGAGACTTAACATCTCGAACAACGATGGTTCTTCAGAACAAATGGAAGCCAGCGAGATTGCTGAGCTCATGGCTGCAGACGAAGAGGACTTCCCTAGTGACTTCCCTCTCTCGTTCCCCAAGATCGAACATCGCCAGAAGGACGATAACGATATCAATAAACTCCTCAGGGACAAGCCAAACGACTACAAGAAACAATCGTTTCCCAGAGGGGACAAGTCCTATGAACTAGTAGTCAAGGACGACAAGATTGTTGTGCCTAAGACCATGCAGAAGAAGCTGGTCGAATGGTATCATGGGGTACTGATGCATCCTGGCGAGACTCGCACGGAACTTACCATCAGTCAACACTACACCTGGAAAGGGTTGCGCAAGACTGTGCAGTCCGTATGTCAGCGTTGCCAAAGCTGCCAACTGAACAAACCCAAGACGCGTAAGCTGTGATTGCTTCCTCCAAAGACTTGCGAGGAGATCCCTTGGGAAAGACTATGTATTGACCTGATAGGTCCATACAACGTTGGGGATCCTAAGAAAAAGAATTCCTGTACATTTCATTGCCTGACAATGATTGATCCCGTAACCGGATGGTTCGAGATTGCTGAGATCTGCTCCAAAGCAGCAGACAAAGTAGTCATCATTCTAGAACAGACGTGGCTTACTCGGTATCCATGGCCTGCTGAGGTTATCATGGATAGAGGACGTGAGTTCCACGCAGAGGTCGAGAAGACTCTCCGGTATGAATATGGACTTCGCCGCAAGTTCATCACCAGACGTTACCCTCAAGCCAACTCGATGGTCGAGCGTGCCCATCAGACCATTCATAACTTGATCAGAATATCAAGTGTCAAGACGACCTCGTGAATGGATCCTGGGATGGAGTCCTCACGGCGGTTCGGTTCGCAATGAATGCCACGATTCATACCACCTTGCGTGCAACGCCTGCACAGCTCGTGTTCAATCGTGACGCGATTCACAACGTCCGGTTCGAAGCCAACTGGAAGTACATTAAGGAACGTCGCCAACAACTTATCCAACAAAACAATGATAGGGAAAACGCGACGCATGTCCCTCATCAATACAATGTCAACGATACTGTGATGATTCAACAGTATCAGCACCACAAGTACGGTCAGCCAAAGTACAAAGGTCCTTACAACATAGACCGAGTCAATGACAATGGTACTGTACGGCTCCGGCATGCTACCGCTAATGGCGGTACAGTCTACCAGACTTGGAACATAAGGTATTTACACCCATACAAGGCCTAATCCCCTTGTAGGATTGCCATCGTGCGACGCACATGTCTACATCCAATCTCCGGAGAGTGCAACGCACTTTAATTCATATGTTCTCCTTGTCCGACTGATGTCGTGCCTTCTGTGACCCTTGTTAGGGGGCGAATGCAATACACGGCTCTTAGCCTTATTCGCGATTCGATCCTAGATAGGGTTTGAGTTCGACTTATGACGTAGTCCCTCGCGAATAGTCATTGAGACAGGGTTGTCATGACTGCTAGTCATACTAGGTTGTCGATGAAACATCGCTCTAGATATTTAGCCTGCGTGGAAAGCTTCCACGCTACTAGACAGCAACTAGCTGAAGTTTCCACGCATTCCGGAAATGAACCGTGGAGTACGTAGAGTTATTACCATAACCTACGATATCACACTTCAAGGCCTCCCGCGGGAGACCAAACTTCAATGAGCGTCACAACGATCTCTCTCATTGATTAGTTTTCGTAGCTTTCTAATCTCTCTCATAACTTTCATTCTCTCAAACTCAAAACACTCGAAAGATCTTTACACTAGCTTTTAGCGTAGTGCACTCACCATTGGAATTGTCCTGGAAGCCAGGAGCTAGTTAATTGCTCATTATTTTATGATTGTAGTCGTTTCCAGCTTTGTTGTTAGTCTTGTGACTGTTGGTACCTTTGCCGTTGGAATGGAACTTGCGAGCATTGGGATTGTTGGCATTGAAGAAACGTCTTTCTACTGATGGTTGCCATTCGGATGAATGGGATATGGAGCGTCATCCGAGAGACATCCTGCAGATCGCTGACACACTTTGCCGGCACTGCGATCACTCTTGGAGTAGTGTTTGGCAGTTCGCGGTTTTGCCTTCACGACTTGTGTCTTTTGCTTCTGCTGATTGCGAAGTCAATGGCCACAGAATCAGCTTCCACTGCACGGTCATGCATGAAGAACGTAATATCCCCCATTTCCTTGTTCTCGAGAACTTTTCCTTGGATCTTTTCGTACTCGGTTACCCATGGCATGGCAGTGGAATCGAGGTAGTGACGGAGCAATGTGACTCCTTCAGGAATGGGATGTGAGCCACTCAGCCGTTATGCTGCTTCGACAGCGACTAAGTAGTTATCTTCACATTCAAGGAAATCTACCTTGCATGGTTTGTGTTGGACTTTGAGTCCTTTAACCTGATTGTATCGGGCCACTGCTACGTGACACCATAAACATTTTCAGGCATTGGACGATGTCGAAATCGACTGCCATTTGTGCGGCTTGACGGTCTTGTGCCGGGACAGCAGCGATGCTGTTCCGATATTTCGTCACAGCCTTGTCCTAAGCGGCGAGCGCTGTGTCTGAGAGACACTTGCAGTATAATGGGGCCTCTTATTCGGAACTGAGCCATAGTTCAGCCACGGCCTTGGTATAGCCTATCACGTGAGCTATCCAGCACGTCGCAAACGCCAATGGGAAAAATATCATAACTGTGCTCCCTCCGCGTATTTGAAATTTTCAATCTTTCATTCCTGTGGTTCTTGGACCACGATGCCTTTTCTGCATGCGTCGCTCCTCTTCAGGAGACAACAGCTTCGAAAAAGAGTTGGTCATGGTGTTGGTTGATCGTGATTCATAGAGCGAGAGCGGTAGAAGCTTCTGATCAGAGTGCAGTAGCCCTCTAAAGTTAAAATTGTGTCTATATGTTTTTACTTGCCCATGCAAGACCTGTTTTGTGCAGGAGCCAGGCCAGCATTGGCCAGCCATGTACCTTCGGTCTGTTGTAGTGTCAACAGACCTTGATCTCAACTAAAATGTGGAGGGAGGACAAAGAGCATGCTAGGCAGGGTTAGACAGGCTCTCTAGCCAGCTCTGCAGACTCCTGTCCTGCAATGTGGTTTGGTCCTCGCGCGAAGGCATCACTTCTTTGCTTTTGCCTCAAGGGTCAACTAACTTCAACTAAGACAAAGTAAATCTCGAATGTCTAGCTAGCTCCCTACTAGGTCGCGATTCGATTCGAGTCGCGAGAGCCACCAGTTGCATTGGCAAGGTGCGCAGCCTGCCAGCTACAATAAATTTTAAAATAACATGCTATGTTATAGCTACCAGTACAGCTAGCTGTATCTGGCTCTGGCCACCAGGGCCGGACGGGAGGTGACAGTCAATTGCTTTATTAATAGTACACACGTACCATGCTCTTACACAAAATAATTCCCGTACACAGGCATCTGCGGCTTCCGGTTCCATGCTTGGAGGCTCGTTGAGGTCCGTGAGTGCGCGTTGAATTGAGTTTGAAGAGAAGCCTGGGCAATCCCACCCAGTTCCCACCTTCCAAAGGAAGCGGAGTACAGTCATACTTCCGTCACATATGCCGCCCGAAGAACTAAAACTGTACTCCGCAGCTGGCAGAAGGGTTGTTGATTGATAATAATAATTGATGGGCGATTGCTGGGCAATAAGCAACCGCCAACGCAGAGTACCAGTGCCGTACTTGAGTACACAGTTGCAAACCTAGAGCTAGCCTTGCATCGGAATTAATTGCTTTTCTGCTCAGTACTTGTACTTTGCCTGATATTTTTTAAAAAATATCTGCTGATGTACTTTTCTAAAGATAGACTGTCAGTTTCTTTTCAGTTCACTTTTGTCTTAGTTCAACGCCACGATTAACGTGCCGCGCGAAGCTTCTGGTTTTTCATAATTTTGTAATCTTCAACTGCGGTGCGTGGGACATCCTTTTTTTTCAAGCGGCTGACTACTGGTATGTCATACCGGTACCAGTACGAGTATGGTACTGCAGTGGCGACAACTCGATCTCCGCAGCTCCAAAGAAGGACCAGACCGCAGAGCGCTGCTCGACAACTTGACAACTGTCAGTGAGACACAACCGCATCAAGCAACAAGCATATATAATGGAATTCAATGCCCCCATCCAAATTGTCAACGACATGATGATAACCGAAAGGGAGAGGAACTGGGCCTTGGCAGTCAAAGAGGCGGTGGAGCTTTCTACCCGCATTGACAACATAAGTGACTTTGGTTACGCTCACCATTGTATCGCCGCAGGAGGCGACCTCAACAAGGCTTTGGACCAAATTGAAGGCATGCAAGCCTTTCGCAAGCAGTACAATCTCTCGGAAATCGATCAGGAAGATACCATACAAAGAGGATTGAAGGCCCTGGATGACTTGAATTCCATTTGTCCGAATTGGCTCTTGCATGTAGACCTAGAAGATGGTAGCCCATGGCTGGTTTGTAATCAAGGTCAGTTGAACCCTGGCAAGGTTTGGCAGCGCGACAAAAGCTATGCCTCGATTCTCCTTGTGCAATATTACCTTGGCTGTGCCTTGCAGCCTACTCTGCAGGCCGTTCGAGAAGGCACGACGATACTCACGGATGGCGAGAAAATGTCTTGGGAGATGATAGACATGAATTACCAACAGCAGCTCTATTTCGAGTTCGTATTACACTTCCCGCACAAAGTGAGGAAAATATTGGTATTCAATGCCAACTGCGCGGCAGTTGCATTTTGGAATCTGGTCAAGCCATTCCTCCCGCGAAAGGTTCGAAGGGTTGTGGTGCTGGACAGGCGATTTGACGCCCTGGGGTTCCGATCTGACGAGATACGGTGCCTCACGGATCTATTTTGTCAGCCAAATCGAGAAGAATCCTGGATTCGATGCAAGCAGAGAGTGGCACAGTTGCTCGTAATGAGGTCCTACAACAACCAGTTCTTTCGACTGTAATCGCTGGCCCAATCCAAACAATCTTTTGCCAGTGGCGGCAGCATAGAAAAGAGCTTTTCGGTGTCGCCCAACCTGTCCCCCAACCTGTCCAAGGACGTGATTCATTTTATTTTGTACATTTTATTTTGTACAAAGATGGAGCTTTCATATACAGCTGCACAAGCTTTTGCCTTTTGTCTTACGTTGGAGATGAACCCCACGAGCCTTCACCGGTATGTACGTAATATGGTTGCTGGCTTGCATGAACCGGGTTCGACTGTGATCTCTGCTGGATGACCAACAAGGGCTGCGGTGAGTTGAAAAGGCCGGCGAGTGTATCCTTGGTGGAGACTATGGTACGAAGGATCCGTACGGTACCAGGTACCAGAATTTGATCTTCCGGTCGTTGTCACATACATGCATTGCTCCGGGTTGGCGAAACTCGATACGTCAAACATAGCTACACTTGTGTAAACAATTCATTTCAAGCAAACGAATGATCGAGACTTTGGCAATCGGCCGAATAGTCGAAAGTGTGGGCTTGTCGCGAAATGTAGCTGCACTTTTTAGGCACATGCGACGTACTTTTGGTTCATCCCCAAAAGTAGTGGCAGTGCTTTGGAAATTATTTTCTCATTCTGCCATATTCTATTCTCAGCCACAGAACCGACTATCGCCCTTACGCTCCTTCTATGCCTGCTCATTACTAGTTTCATGGCTTGGTCTCGTGTAATCGAGGATCCACTCCCAGCTAGCACTGGTACTAGCTAGCTCGAGTATCGTGGCCATCGGTGGCGCAGCAAAGCCCTTGCCGACGATGGCCAATGCAGGTTCGTGTTGGGTCAGTTCTTCTCTGGTAGTAGCTGCTGGAGCTAGCTAGCTAGGAAGTCGGAAGCAAAGAAGGAAACGCGTGCCTTTGCGGTTGGGGGTGATGTTATCAGTCACTATCAGTGTCCGTGGTAGATCATTTAAAACACTAATAAGTATCAAAATGGTATCGTAATGATTATGAGCGAAGACCACGTATTCCCGGTAGACTCTACCGTACCAGATATGCATAAGTTCGTACTCGCGATCGTACCGGCGATTGGCTGGACATGAGAAAGGAGCACTGGACCGATTTCGGACGTATCATAGGACTGACGATCTTACGTCATGTTGGCCCTGGCCAAAGAGGTTTTGCAAAACCTCAGCTCTACCGCTACGGGGTAGGGTGATTTGTCCCTCACAAATTTTCACTTAGGCTAAGTGTTCGTAAATCCGCTTAGGCTAAGTGGATTTACGTGAATCACTTAAACTAAGTGTTCTACTTAGCCTAAGCAAAACAATTTGGCTAAGCAATACACTTAGGCTAAGTGGTGCTCTCCGAGACATCATCTATCTTCTCAACAGCACAAGTCCCTGCAGCTTGTTGTATACACAAACTCTGTATTACTGCTGATCCTCATTCGCAATAGTAACAATGTTGCCAGCAAGTGCTTTGGCGCTGTGCAATGAGGGAATGATGGCCACGCCAAAGGCACAACTAACGACCAACAACTCTCAGATGGTAGGTAAATACACTGAACATGTATTTGGAAACATCGGGAACATCCAAAATTTTGCAAGAAAGCAACATCATTTGTACACCGGAATAGTACTCACAACTCCTGAGGAGTATTAATACTTTTGAACTTCCACCCTGGAACCGTAATAATTCCCAATCGTACAAAGTCTCCCTTGGCACTTTTTTATTGTTGCATATTTACATTATAGCCAAGGGTGGAAGCCAGATTAATAGTATGCTGCCTTGTATGGATGATACCATCCTCCAGGGAAGTCACAACCTGGATCTAAATCTCAGTCTCAGCCCAATTGAACTCTTTCTTGTGAAGTTCCTTGAGCAGTTCGCAGGAAGTCTTGCATAAGGTGGAGGATATGGTGGGTGATGGTTGTATTAGAACTTGTGTTCGCGCTTTGTTTACAGCAAGCTGCAGGGACTTGTGCTGAACTTGTGCTGTTGAGAAGATGCCTTGGAGCGAGAGCATCACTTAGCCTAAGTGTTTCGCTTAGCCTAAGTGAGTTGCTTTGTATGGCTTAGCCTAAGTGTATTGCTTAGCCTAAGTGTATTGCTTAGGCTAAGTAAAACACTTAGCCTAAGTGGATTTTCGAGCACTTAGCCTATGTGAAAATTTGTGAGGGACAAATCACGCTACCCTGCACGGTACTAACGGTACATGTATTAATTAATAGCTAGACTAGCTAAGCTGGCTGTGGCAAGAAGCGTAAAAGTTTATCTTTTTGAGATGTAGAAGTAGCAATCTTCGCCTCCTCTTCTGGAGCTGGAGACAAGCGACTTGGAGGCTTCGACAGACAGAGAGAGAATCCAATAGATCTATATGCACTGACAAAGAGCAACTTTGAAGATGGCGTCAAAGTCCATACAGGTCCATCAGAAAGACATGGATGTCACTCGCGGTTGCCCAGGATACGAAGGCGCACTGCAAGGCAATTGGAACGGCAATGTTTCCTTTGGTGACGCTACGGTACTTCTTCCAAAGACCATGGATGAATTGTGCCGCATGGTCCGAGACGCCGATCAGCTTCCTGTTCGGGTTGTAGGACGAGGTCATTCTTTCACACCATTGGCCCTAGGAGGTACCATTCTCTGTTTGCAGCACCTGAATCGTATCCTGGACTATCGACCGCCGTCATCCAAGACGGATGGATTTATTACGTGTGAAGGTGGTACCACCTACACTGAAGTGATTCAGTTTTTGAACCAACAAGCACCACAAGAGCGAGGAGCACTGCCCAATTTGCCCTCGTGCCCACAATTCACAATTGCTGGAGCCATTGCCACTGGGACTCACGGTTCGGGCATTCACATTCACAATTTATCGGCACACGTGTCCATGCTGGAGTTTGTTCAGGCCAATGGGAGTCTTGTACGCTACGATCGCAGTGATCCAAGCACCCAAGATATTTTGAAAAAATGTCGCATTCATCTAGGTTGCTTGGGTGTCATTAGTCGACTGACATTGGATATTGTGCCCTATTATTCGGTAGAGGCGGTTCGGTACGACGACATTCCTCTAGAAACTGTGATTGCCAACCTTCCCGAATGGTGGACACGATGTGATTCTTTGTCCGTGTGGACGTCTGGGTTTGGAAAGGGCGTGGGCAAGGGAACCTGCTGGGCTACGTTTCGTCGGTTTGTGGTCGAAGAAGCAAAAAAGGATGACGACGACGATGCTCCAGCAGTCGACTTGCCAACCTTTTTGACACCGCAAGAGCTAGGCGACAAGGGCCACGTTTGTAATAGAAGTATCCCTCGGTATTGCACTGACCCTCGGCAACCCGAAGGTTTTGTCCCCACTGGACGAGGTCCCTGGTACGATTATTTGACCGTCACCATGGATGGGGGGAAGGAAACTTGTATGACTACAAAAGACTTGCAGGCAGAGTTCTTTGTGCCGCTGCGGTATGCACAGGCGGCATTGCGAGCCGTGTGGGATGCCGCTCGTGAGGTGTCCTTTAGTCCTCCCTGGGGATATCAGCCAACGAGTGCCGACAAAGAACCGCCGCAACGAGGCGTGATTGATGCCATGGAGTTTCGACAAGTCAAAGCTGGAGATGGGGCATGGCTGAGCCCGCACAATGATCAGTACCCGGCAATAATCAACGACAAGGATTATGATGATGATGGCGAAACTCAACCAGGCAAGAGCTGTTCAGCCCTGTTGGGGATTCACATGAGTTTCAACGGGGATCCAGCATTACGAAATGACATTCTCAAAACCTATCTTCCGCGGATCGAACAAGCACTGGAGCCTTTTGGTGGGCGGCCGCATTGGGGAAAGCTCTCCACCAACTATCGATATTCTCACGTGCAGACAGTCTATCCCACCGAGGCACTGGAACAGTTCCAAAGTCTCTGTCAGAAGCATGATCCCACGGGCAAGTTCCGCAATGAGTTTATCCAGCGAGCCTTGTTTGGAGAATAATCGATTTTTCGAGACGGAACCAAATGTGCAGGGGGGACCTACAAATCCGGGGAGCCACTCTACAAGCCACAAGCCAGCTCTACACTTGTTGTGTTTTCTTGAGCAAGCGTCATAATACCGTAGTACACAACGGTAAAGCACATGGCCATTCCGGGCGAGACGAGTTCCGAGTGGCGCAATCCATCTACTGTACCACCACCGGGTAACTTCTTCACTGCATCCTTGGGCCAGTTTCGTTTGTGGCTGCCATTCACCACATCGTTGCGGTTGCTCCTCCTGTATCATTACGATGCTGTAGCCAGTAAAACCTAGGTCAGCCACTCTTGCTAAACACCAGTAGTTTGATAGACATTCGGTTGCCCTTGCATTGGCAAAGATCGGTTGCAGTCTAGACTGCGGCTTGTCTGCTACATGAACACAGCCAGCTCCAAACACAGGGCAGGAGCACGAGACTCGACTCGTCACCCAGAAGACGCTAGCGGTTTCCAACGACAAGCCATCTATCTACACGGGGGACAAGGCTCATCATCTTGTGGCTATGGCTATAGATAGTATCTAATGTAAAAGTTTATGGCTATACCAGTACCGTAGCGAGCTTACTTGCTTGCTTGACCGCCAAATCGTTGTTTAAAAAATGTATGTCGACTTGCTCCCTCGTTCCTTTCGCTCTTTCCGTTTTCCGTCCCAATCCGAGAGGCAGAAGTCGTTGATGACGATGATGATGTTGTTGTTGTGTATTCTTTTGTGTCTTTTTGTTTACTCCTCCCTGGTGATTCGCTCTTGTAGCATGCACAGCCGTTGATCTTGTTGTCGCCTCCATCTTGATCAAGATGCTGCTGCTCCAATCCACGCCAACGGCTTGCTACTATCTTGTTGGTCTCCTACGCGTTGCGTGTGGCCGAGCGAAGCTTTCCCATGATGGCTATTCTTTCCATCGAGCCCATATTGAATTTGTGATCATATTCGCTCATGAGGTCTTGCACAATCTCTTCCGTGGCGAACTTGCCTCGCTCCAAGTCGCGAGTCAGCCTGGGCATGAACTTGCCCAATCGCTTCGAATCATTCTTCTTGCAAGTGTGAATGTGAACTAGGAACCTCTCCAGGTTGTCGCCGGCTTGAAAGAGATGAGGAGCCTTGGCGTTCTCGCCATCGCTTGAGTTGGAGGAAGAGTGATCCGACAGGGCATCACGGACGGCTTGCTTTTGACGCGAACGGGCTTTCTTCTTGGCTCCCATGGTTGTTGTTTATTTCTTGACTGATGGAGAGAGAAGGCGATGGAAGGGCTTGTCGTCGTCAAGGCTTGTCGGCTTTGTCGGCTGTGTAGGTTGTGGCGGAAGAAACTCGATCGGATGTGTGGCAGTTGGCCGTTCTTTCTTCACTCAAGGTCGATTTCGATTGATTCTCAAGGGCTGAACGCCAAATGGAAGTCAAGATCAAATGAGAGAGGCTTTCAACGGAGCAGTCGATTGAAATTATGACAATGAATGGGCAACACAAGCAAGAGAATGAAGTCAAGACGCTTTTGGCTTGCCGTTGCCGCTCTCTTTGTGACTTCGGGATGATGAGAGAGTGAGAGAGAAGATTGAAACATGGATCGGTTTGATCGTTGAAGTGACGTTAAATAAATTTATTACTTTAAAAAGCTCGATCGTAAAACTGAAGTGAAATGAATTCGACGAGCTAAACTTATCTCTAAAAGATAAACTTCTCTTTTCATTCGTTCATCGGACACCGAAAAGATCCTTGGAGGAGCACGCAGCGGCATAAGCCGTGATCTGAGGCTGACAGCGTGGGACTTGAACGCGATGCCGAAGCTCCCTCAAAGGTTGATGCAACCCTCGGTTGTTGCCAAGAGGGGTCCTTTGAGGTTAGTTTCTTATGGCAGGACGACAGTGCAAACTGGGAATGGGCAAGATGCTAGAAATGGCAACCATGAATGCATAAACCGATCACACATCGTTCGTGTGGCTTTTGCAAACCAACCCCGAACAGCCGGATCGTTCTCATCGCAGGGAGGAACTCTAACTATCCCAGAGGGACCGTATCAGGCAGCAAGGGAATGGTTTTGTCTGGGTGCTTGGTCGTGGGGAAGGGTTCTAGCTCTTACGAGTTGGCCTCTTTGCTCCGATGCGTGCAGGGAAACAGCAGACCGAGGCATCTTGCAGGCGAGCGTGGAGCTGTGGAATAGCCTCGTCGCTTGAATTTAGCATTGAGTTCAGGAAGAGCATGACCAGCGTACAGAAGGAAGCGATGAAGAGAGTCTTTGCTGACCTTACCTGCGATATCTGTCCCACGTAGCTGGCAGGCGGAGAAAAGATTCTCGTAGCGCCTGACAAATGGTGGCAAAATACGACGTCTTCAACATGTCCCCACAGCCTGCTGGACGAACCTCCTCGACCAGAGCATCAGATAGATATCAGCTCATTCCTAGTTCTTTCTTGCTCTCAGTATGAAAAGAGTTACTGTTACCGGTACCAGGTAGTCCGAACCAGTGTCGTCGTGGTTCGAAAGTTAAACACGTGAAGTCGAGGGTGTGTTCCGAAAACTCCCCCCGCCACACGATTTCACTATCCTCACCTCCCCATTGTTTGGAGGCATGCATTTAGTCTATCTCCTAGTAGCTAGCTAGAACATACATGCAGCTATGCAAAGGATCGCACTACTGTAGCATCGGCCCGGCCAGGGTCGCAAATAAGCGCTGCAACGGGCAGTGTCCTCGCGAAAGGTCGATGCAAAAGCTACGCACAGCCTGCTTACATAGCGTTTCTGAGCAGAACTGAAGATGTTGTAGCTCTTCCTAGCAAGACAGAAACCATTCTTGTGTTCTTGATTTGATTGCAGGGTGGACCGTCCCAGGTCGCAGGATTTGCACGAGCGGCAGCTACCAGTACTTTGTGTTCCGTTCCGGGGCTTCTGTCTGAGCGGTACGAGCACGCTTACTGTAGCTTCGCTTTCTACAAGCAAGGCAAGGGTAAGCAGCCATGAATGCTTGAATCGAATCAACAAGCCTACCTACCTGTCATCATTCACTGTTGGAAGTCCGAATTTTGCGCTGTTCTGAAGCAGTCGAGCTACGACAACGTCGGTCAACAGACCGTACTAGAAACGCATTGCCACTGAACGTTCTCAAACATGCTGAAGAACTCAATTAAGCAAGCACAGACTTTGCATCTTCCTATTCGGTTGTCATGGCAGGATTTTGAAATGTGGCGCCGTTCGGAACAGCTGCCCGTCACATGCACCAGTATCGAGCGGATCAGTCGGCAAACCAAAGTCGCCGATTAAGGCACCTCCGGTACCGTACCGGTACCGGCACCCACCGGACCGTGTGAACCTCTGGCAGGTGGTACGGCTGGACCTGGTAGCTCTAGAAATGTAATTTGGTATCAACGTTTTGTTCGCTCTCGACATGTCCACTTCTGATGCACTCTCTCGCACATCGTAAGCGATGTTGGCAGCACCGGTTGGGCCTTGCCCGACGAGACGATTAGTCGAGTCTTTCAGCGCCTTCAAGGATTGATGATTCCCCTGGTCCTTCGCAACGATGCACGTTCAAAAGACTACGTACGAATCTATTCACGAAATCATGATGAGGTTCAACTTATGCAAGGCTGTTTGATAACTTTGTGCACTCCTATGTAAAAACTACATGTAAAACTCGACTTTTTCCTACGGTACCTATCCAAGCCATTCTTGAAAGAAATCTTCACCTTTGTCGTCGCACACAATGAATGCGGGAAAGTTTTCCACGTCAATCTTCCACACAGCTTCCATACCATCTTCTTCGTTGTCCAGCACTTGAACATTCTTGATACAATTCTTTGCCAAAATGGCTGCGGGGCCACCAATACTTCCCAAGTAAAAGCCACCGTACTTTTTACAGGCATTTGTCACGTCTTTCGAGCGGTTGCCCTTGGCCAATGTAATCATACTTCCACCGTGTTGCATGAATTTGTCCACGTACGCATCCATTCGTCCCGCCGTTGTGGGGCCAAAGCTACCACTGGCATAGCCTTCGGGTGTCTTTGCTGGACCGGCATAGTAAATAATGTGATCTTTGGCGTATTGAGGCAATCCTTCCCCACTTTCCAAACGCTCCAACATTTTGGCATGGGCAATATCTCGTGCCACCACAATAGTCCCGGTGAGCGACAGACGCGTTTTGACGGGGAACTTGCTGAGTTCTGCTCGCAGTTGGTCCATGGTCAAGTCATTCAAATTCATGGAAACCACCGTTTCACTGAGATCATCTTCTGTCACTTCGGGCAAGTACTTTGCCACATCCGTTTCCAACTGTTCAATAAAGACACCCTCCTTGTTGATTTTGGCCAATACTTGTCGATCGGCAGAACAGGAAACCCCAATTCCTACGGGACAGCTGGCGCCGTGACGAGGCAACCGGACGACGCGTACATCGTGACAAAAGTACTTGCCACCAAACTGGGCTCCAATTCCGAGGTTGCGTGTCATTTCTAGAATGTACTTTTCCCATTCCACGTCTCGAAAGGCTCTGCCCGTTTCATCTCCGGTCGTGGGCAAATCATCGTAGAATTTGGTGGATGCCAGTTTGACGGTTTTGAGAGTCAATTCGGCCGAGAGTCCTCCAATGACAATGGCCAAGTGATAGGGTGGACATGCCGACGTTCCAATAGTCTTGATATTGTTTTGGAGAAACGTTTCCAGAGAGCCAGGATTCAAGAGCGCTTTGGTTTGTTGGTACAAAAATGTCTTGTTGGCAGATCCACCTCCCTTGGCAATAAACATGAATTTGTACTCATCACCCTTGGCCGCGAACAAGTCAATTTGAGCTGGCAAATTGTTCCCCGTATTCTTTTCGGTGAACATGTCCAAGGGAGCCACTTGACTGTATCGCAGGTTGAGTTCACGGTAGGCATCTCCCGCGCCAGCACTCAATGCGGCTTCATCTTCTCCATCGGTCATGACCAAGTGTCCCTTTTTGCCCATGACAATGGCCGTTCCGGTATCTTGACATCCTGGCAAGACCCTTCCAGCCGCAATATTGGCATTCTTGAGCAATTCCAACGCCACAAATTGGTCATTGTCGCTCGCATCGGGGTCGTCCAGAATATTCCTCAATTGCTGCAAGTGGGCGGGACGAAGCAAATGCGCAATGTCCCCAAAAGCCGTCCTGGACAATTCACGCAATGCTTCCGGACTGACTTGTAACATGGTTTCTCCATTGGGCAACTCAATCGTCGAGACGGCTTCGGGACCCATCAATTGACGATATTCCGGCACTTGTGTGTAGACATTTGACGAAAACACAGGCGAATAATCCGGCAACGAAGAAAAGCATCGGACACTTCTTCGACTTTGCTGCGACAAGGCGGCAAGCACCCAACGACCAGAGGAGGAAGCCAACATGGTGTGGATAATTATTATTATTGAAAGACTGACTTCTTTTGATAACTAATGGACCTCTGTTGGATAGGATGTGTGCTTTTTCGATTTGACTGTGGGAAAGCTTCGCTTCCCATCCTCTGGATTGTGGATTTGGATCTTTTGGCTCCTCGTCATTGACACTGGTCGTGATTGACGCAGGCATCTCTGCCGGCATATTACGAAATGCTTCTAACTCTTTACATTGGTGCCGACGGCAAAGCCAAATCTACCGGTACCAGGTACTACTAGTAGTGCCACCACACTTGCTTCTGACGTCTACGGTACAATCTATGATAATCGAGCTAAATGCAATGTGCATATAGCTATCTATCTATGATAGAGCAGCACCACGACGGTGGTATGATACGGAGAAGATCAAGCACGGTTTGAATGTGATCTCCATTGCCAAGGTTTCACTGCTCAACGGCGCTAGTAGAAAAAGGTGATATTCAACAATTCAACCATTCCACAACGTCCAACCTAAGATCACACAGCGTTGACGTACGTTGCAACTCATCCCTTTACGATGCAGAATTTGCTTGGGCTGAAAAGGGCATTGCCCTCAATCATCCAAGTTGTTCCCCCAACAAATAAATAACCTTTTAAAATATTTAACCCTAACCGTGCCTGGCTGGCCAGGCGCCTTTTCAAACCCGCCTAACATCAGCCGTGCATCGAACTTTTTCTTCTGCCGATCCGCCTGCTACCGTAGCCTGATGATGAAGCAACATCACAACTTAATCCAAAGCATCAAGACATTTGGGCAGGCAGTAGCATGCCAAGACAGCAGAACAACAACCGCCAAAAGGGCCGAAAAGAACACAGGCATGATAAGAAACGGCCCACGGGAATTCCCCGACGCGACAAGAAACCGGCCACACGCACCCGTCGAGCGGATCGTCAACGAAAGGAAGAGCAGCAGTCGGTGATCGGAATGATTCGGGAAGAATTGCACCTACTGGATTGGGAACGCGACTATCAGGTGCAGGAACTGGAGGCAACGGGAATGGTGACGGATGCCTGGAGGCTCCAGGCACAACGTGACTTTTATAAGCACCGGAAAGCCATACGAGAAAAACGTCTGCATCGGGCTTTGATGCAAAACGTGCGTTGCAATGATGTGAAGGGATGCCGGGATGCTTTGGTTTCCTGCTTGGAACTCGTCAGACAAGGCCGAGCCAAGCCTGTGAAGAAGGGTCAGATCACATGCATGGCTGGATTGTCGTTGATGCCACAAGCCATTCAACAAAACATTATTTCCATGAGGTTCCACGGGCTCCCGGACAAAAGCAGCCCCTTTGTACCAGGGGTCTACGTTCGCTGGTGTGGTTCGTCCTGCTTGTGTGTCCTTGTTTTGTATCCTGGGATGAAAGAAGCGACCTGGGGCTTTACAGAGTACTGGTGTGAGCCTCCGAGCGAGCGGCACCCCCGCCGTTTCTACTCTACCTGGGGTGAGATTCTCCGCCATGTCCAAGAGAAGCCAGGCCCAGTGCCAGCTCCTGAATTGTTGGTAGACTTCGCGCTGGATCGAAGGGCGGGCACAATGCCTGTTCTTCCAATTGAAGGAAGCAACAATCTTTCATTTGACTACGGGGGGAGGGTATTTCGCGAGGAGTATGCTCTGGTGGCTCCGTTCTAAAGCTGCCTGGTGGCGCGTTTCTTTCTAAAAAGATAAACGATCTAGCTAGCCAAGCAGTACTAATCGGTGATTCTTCGAGGACGCACAGCCTGGTAGCCTCGAATGAAGCCCTATAGCTGGGTGTTGTAAAAGTGCTGCTGGGGAGAGGAGAGGGGTGGTGGGAGGAATGTCTCAGCAGAACATGCTCAGTAGCCGAAAGGAGCATCCGACCGCGATCGGTGCCGGTAGCTGTCTGACATACTAGGTAGATGAAAATCGACTACTGAGTGGGGGAGAAGCCAATCCGAGCGCAACGAGGAGACGTTCGGGATAAGAAAGGGGTGGCTTCCAGCAGCGAGCCGGAACTAAAAATCGGGACCGGATTTGCATTGATCAGCTGGTGGTGGAGAGATTGATGTGTTTGCTGCATTGCGCTGGTGCTTGCTTGTTGTTGTTGGCAATGGAAATGTGATTTATTGTAGACAGTGCAACAGCCAATGGAATTTCCTGTAAAGATCCATCGCCGCAACGCCACCAAACCACATCATCTTTTGATATCGTCAGACACGGACCACACCCACATCCCAATCTTTCCAACCGCTGAGCAACAGCTGTTAGGCTTCCTATCTCCTATCGGCAAGGGTAGAGCTTGCATGCAATGTCGAGGCAATGGGAGGCTCATTTTTTACGATCCCTTTCCGATCTTTACGACTAGGTTCGACGATCAGACACGTGCGTGTTGTTCCATTCGTTAAATCATATTGGAATCAAAAAGGGCACTGCGTTGTCAAAGAGGATTACTGTCTGTTCAACGCGAATACCCGCCTTCGATTCGTTGGTACCAGGTAGCACACCAATAGTAAAACTTGCCTGGAAGCTGGAACAAATCTTTTTCGGAAAAGGGAGCTGAGCAAAGGCCTTGCTAGATTGATTGACTGCGTTCCTTTGCATCGAAGATCGAAGTGGATATCGAAGTTGCAACGTAGATGGAGATACCGGTAGGGGACGAATGCGGCATGCGGCCTTTGAAGCTTTGAGATCACCACGAAATTTCATAACTTTCCTCTCTTATAAACTTTCTTCACATGTCGAAGGAGAAGATCATTTGAAGGAGGCCAATTGGTAATCTAGCTACGGTACCAAACACTGGACCTGCTTTCTCACAATATCCGGTTCGAAAGCCAAACTCTCCACAATGAACTCCTGCTGCTCTTCCATTACTTGTTCTGTGTCGGTGGATATCGAAGATGAGGGGTTCATCACAAAGCGATTTGTTCAACGAAAACGGGGAATGTTTCGGCGAGCAAACAGCATTGAATCTCTCTATGGACAACCCAAGTCCTCGTTTTCACGCCCTCTGCGGGTGAGGCGAGTCCTATCGGACCCCCAGTCTGATACCAAGTTGGATGTCATTGCTCCACCTTTGCTTGTACCACGGTGGGACAGCCAAAGTTCTCCCAAGCACCGCCGAAAGAGTGTTGACACTCCTCCGTCGACGGCTCGTCTGACGGTCATGCGATCTCACAGTAGGAGAAAGGTCCAAGACCAGGCTTCTCTTTCTCCACTCTCTCGCCAATCGTTATCTCCCGTCCCACAGCTCTGCCGCTGGGGAAGCGACACTCTGGTCAAAGATTCCAAAACAAAGGGTCCTCCACAACCAGCCAGGCAGCTGAGTCCAATGAGGGCACCAGCATGCTAACCGAGTGGGATACCATGATCATCATTCAGTCAGGGCCCAGTTCCAATGCAGCACTCTTCTGGGCAGGTTGATAGCCACAATACATAATTTATACAAAGGAGTTATATCGATATGTACCGTATGTTTTCCTTTTATGATGGCACCAACTAGCTAGCTAGAGTGTCAACCCATGGCTACTCGCAGCTGAAGTCCGTACGGTAGCTGGTGAGTGGTAAGACGATCCAATGAGACCGACAAAGCAACATTGGCGAAGCGAGCAATGCACATGTCTGGCTGTGCTGCCTGCCTGCACCTCGTCTCCAACGGCTCGTTAGAGGAAGCAGCACCATGACAGAGGAGCATGTTTCAGGACGCCGAAAACGATCTGATGGCGCTGGAAGACTGCATCCTGAATTTGCACCTCTTTGGGCACGTGAGCCAAGATTTCCAATCCCTTGGCAACGGTCGCCCTTGTGGACCCAATAGCAAAATGGGACCGTCCGTATCGATTCAGGCACGATGTGTATCGGATATACCGGCTGAAGAGGCGGTAAGACTCATCTCTCACGAGCACATCTGTCAGGGTGTCATTGAAGGCCATGAGTTGAACAAGCGCTTTGATGGATTCCAGTGGTACAGGTTCTTTGCACATATCTTCGGTCAGACGCAGCTTTCTCAAAGGAACGACGCCTGGACCGTCGTAGTTTGGTGTCAGCAGAGGGAGAAGACGGTCTAACCGAACCAATGGTCCCCTGATTGTCAACGCCTCCAGTCTGCCCCGACTCAGCAGCTGGAAGATGGGTTCTGTGAGGTCCATGTGCCACATCCCATCAAACGGAGGTTCCGTGTCGTAGTTGTGTCGATTGTCAATGTCCTCGGTGGTGTACTCTTGGGGAAACGCGTCGAAGCGGAGTTCAAAGTCCTTGAGTGCCGGCATGTGGACTGTTTCCTCTAGAAACGCCACCAAGAACGACCGTGATACATCCATGTGACAGTTGACCAGAGAAAGCTTTTCCAGTCGACACCGCCGCCAAGCTCCCAACATCTTCCAGTCTGCCGATCGGTATTCCCGTCTCCTTGCAACTCTTTCCTCGGTTGATACCCTGACAAGGTTTAGCTGTAACTCTCTGAGTGTCGACGTGGGAGAGGTGGTGCAAAGGAGTAGGCCAGCCAAAGAGGCACCAGAGTCTTGGAACGAGAAACTCTCAAGCTCCAGTCGTTCCAACTTTTCTGCGGCGACTTCCCAGAGAGCATCGCAAAGCTCTATTCCACCTCCAATTTCATAGGGCCCCCTTCGACCGTTCTCAAAGTCGAGACTGATTGCGAGCTCTCGAAGCTGGCTGTTGTGGTGATTCATCAGGCCATGTACGATTGGGACAATGGATGGGTCCGTGAAAAAACAGTCTCCGTCGAGACGCAATCGGATATCCCGCAGATTGGTACTCTTTTGCAAGTGTCGAAGGACACTTCTTGAGTGGTTGTAGCACTCGTCATCATAGAACAGGCGACAGTCCACTCGCTCCATTTGCGGGATAGCGAGCGATAAAGAAGTTTCCAAAATGCTGAGATCAGCTCGAAAAATGTCCACCAGTGCACATGTCGAGCCTCCAATCAACAATTGGTTCGATTGTTCTGGGCATTGTTCTAAGAGGTATTGGAGCGTTTCTGGGTTGCAGGAGAAATTGAATGCATGGTCTATTGGGGTCATGCCATTTTCATCTTGCAAGGCCAGAGCCTCTGGATATGCATCAATAAGATCTTTTAACGAGTCCATGGATGTACGGAACCTCCTTACGGCTCGATGAAGTGCAACATGCTTCGATGTCCCCTTTCTCAATGACGCCAATTCTGGATCCTTGGAGAGGAAGAATTGCAGAATTTCAGGCTTGGCGCCAACCTCACATGCACATATTAAAGGATGATTGCCGCGAAGGGACTCTCCTTCTCTGTATATCCCACGTCTGTCTAGAGCATATAGCCCTTCCAAGATATCCACGGTGGCACTTGGGTATGCTCCAGCCATGAGATGAAGTGGATACCCTCGATGAGGATAGAAGCCAAATTTCTCAGTGGCCAAGCTTGGATGCTTTTGCAGGATATTCAAGACCCGACCATGTCGAATCGCGCCACTAGTAGTGGACAACCGGATACTCAACAGTGTGGAATCGAGCTCTGCTCTGGCTTCCTCAACTGTTTCAGGAAGGGTTGAATCCACATCAGGCAGGGCAGGGACGAGCTCTTGTTGATATATCGTGTCCTCTTGACGATTGATATAATCCTCATCGTAGGCTGAAGGAACTATGCCCTTGGCTTCCAGATCATCTCTTCTGGACATGATTTTTGTCCAGAGAGGATACGAGGAAGGAGAGGAGAGTGGGGAAGAGCAGAGAAGGGGGGCATGATTTTAGGGGGATTTTCAAGGGGGTCTTTTAGCTACCGGTATGGTACTAGTACCCTCTTTTGACCCTTCAGCCCCCCATTGTCTACTTTGGTACTCAAACTGCACCAAAGACATCTAATCGCCAAAAGTCAGGATTATATCACAGAGTAACTCACCCCGCTCTCGCCTAAGTAACTTTCTGTTTTCGTCCACCTGACTAAAACATGTTTTCGTCACCTTGACTAAAACTAACATTGACCATCCTTCCCAAATCATGTTTTAGTCAACAAGGCTAAAACCTGTTTTAAACCTAAAGACCGAAACTTGTTTTAGTCCGTAAGGCGAAAACAACTCGGCGCTCGTTCGCGTGCCTTATGCCAGCGAAATGGTCATAATTTCATTTGGATTGGATTTGGATTCACTCCACAAATCAACCCACATCCACAACAAGAACAACCTCCCACTCCATCCACAGCCAAATCTCCACATCTATCCCCCCTCTGTACTCCCCACAGCCCAAGAAGACACACAGAGAGTCTCCTTACCAACACTACTACTACTCCAGCACAGATCTCTAGCTGGAATGAGCCCAAATACAAGGAACAAGCCTGTAAGTGCCCGGTGCAGTTTTTTACACGTTTTCGTCTTACCGACCAAATCATGTTTTCGTCGTATTGGTTAAAACATGTTTTCGTCGTATTGGTTAAAACATGTTTTCGTCGTGTTGGTTGAAACATGTTTTCGTCGTACCGACCAAATCATGTTTTCGTCCTGTTCGTTAAAACATGTTTTCGTCGTGTGGGTTGAAACATGTTTTCGTCGTATAGGCTAAAACATGTTTTCGTCGTGTGGGTTAAAACATGTTTTTGTTGTGTGGGTTAAAACATGTTTTCGTCGTGCTGACCAAATCTTGTTTTAGTCGTCCCTACCAAAACATTGATGCCTGTGATTATCTTAATGTTGAGGAATATTTCTTCAGTCTCCTGATCCTCGTTGTTGACTCATACTCTTTCTCTTTTCTCTTCCTGTTCATTAGACTGACTGCCTATTGACATTATGTCTACTTCAAAGAACTTGCAAGGGTGGTCGTGGCAAGCAGAACAAGTCTCCACAGGCAAAGTCCAGTGAGAAGTCCGCCAGTCAGAAGGCTAGCATTCTTGAAAAGAAAAGGAAGGATGTTATTGGTGCATCCTATGCCACTCATTGCTACATGATCAGAGATCAATTGATCTCATTCAAATGGTACTTTGATGATGTGCCAGCACCTCAGCTTAATTGTACAGATCAGCGGCTTTGCTGTTTGCGTTCTCTTTTCCTTGGTAAGCGATCTTGTCTCTATAACTCGTGGAGTACTTGCAGCCAATATAAACATTGTACCTTTCACCAACCTTCTCTGTTTTGATCACTTTGATTTGTTGCATTGTGTATCCTCTTGCATGGCTGCTTCATTGATCCTCTTCACAAGACTTTTGTGGTAGTCAAAGGAGGGTTCATAGACATCTTTGGGAAGGGTAAGTTCTCCACCAAGTGATTTGGAGCCAAAAGCTGTGTCATACTTGAAGACTTGACACAAATTGATCTTATCTTGCCCTTCAACATTGTCCAACAGAATCTGTGATGGTCTCCATGAGTGCTCCCCCTCCTGCAAATCCCCATGGAGGACTGCTGGTGGCAAGTTGGCTATAGGTTTGATTGAGTTGTTTTGTTTGTTGATGTTGCCTCAAAGCGTGTTGTGTGTGCTGCTGAAAAAACATGTTTTGGTCTCAGAAAGAAACAAGGTAAGCGAAACTTTGACAGAAAGAAAGAGGAGCCAAGCCAAATTTTCGTCTTTCTGACCTGTTTCTGTGTTTTGGTCGTCTGGACTAAATCATGTTTTGGTAATTGGGAATAAAACGCGTAATAGTCATTAAGGTTAAAACAAGTTTTAGTAAATCGGAATAAAACATGATTTAGTAAATCGGAATAAAACGTGTTTTAGTCATTAGGACCAAAACTTCAGTTGGGTTTGCAAGCGGGGTGAGATACTCTGTGTTATAATCCTGATGTTTACCTAATGTATTCTATTTGAACTACTAGATCTACAAAAATAGTCAAATAATTTGACTGTTTCCGTGCATGTAGTCGAACTGCGTTTTGGTGCAGTTTAAAAGTCAAAATAGTACTTGACTTGTTCCAACTTTCTTTGTTACAAATTGTAGACTTGAACAAATGAAACTTCATTCAAGCATGTTTGCCGTGCCTCGGCTGCGGTTGGCAAGTTTCCAACAACTGGTGTTGCCAAGTTTCCAACAACTGGTTATGGCAATCGAAGTCCTACTGGCCATTGATACATTGGAATCAAGCTACGGTGGTGTGTGGGTACTGCATAGGCGTTTCGTAGCTCGCTTTTCCCCAATGTCTTGTGGGCCCTCCTTGGCAGCCCCGTTTGAAAGCGGCTCTGTCGGCCAACAAGACGCTGTACCGTACATGTATGTACATGTCTGTACAGATACGATAGGGAGTGAGTGACAGTCAGCGCAAAAAGCAGCAAAACTTTGTTTTGCAGCCAACCTTGCGCACTTCCTCTTCAATCCCTCACTACTACTTGGTCTGGTTGCACTTCTTCTGCTTCTTCTAAAGACACACCAAAGTCGGCCAGTGATACCCCAAATCGTTTGTAAATGGTATCAAACTGCTGGTGAAAGAAAAAATCATTGTTGGCGTGCGGCAGTGGCCAATACGACTGGTGACCATTGATTGGTACTATTCTTTCTCGTTCTGGCTGAGGGCGATCGTATTGTTTGGGTACCATCCGGTATCCCTGTGCGTGCAACAATTCCCGCACGGCTTGATCTTTGGGAATGTTGCGACTGTCGGCTTCTACGACAATGACGCCAAATCCCACCGTGATGAAATCGATCGATTGGAGCACCTCTAATTCGGCGCCTTCGACATCGAGACTGAGCAAGTCGTAATGTCGAATGTGATGTGCGTGTTGTTTCAGCAACTCTGCCATGGGTGTACATTGTACGGGAATGACCTGGTGTTGTTTGAAATCCTCCAGATTGGTACTCCCCCACCATGTTTGTCGAAAGGCATGACTGGCAAATTCCCAGAACCCCGATGTCGATCCATTATTGTTGATGAAATGGAGTGTCTGTGGTTCGTGACAGACTCCCGCCGTAATGATGGCAATTTCGTTGGTGCGATGTTTAGGAATGTGTGCTGCCATGGTGGGAGATGCCTCGATGAGTACTCCTTTCCAATCAAAGTGTTGATTGAGAAAGTACGTGTTGGAGAATGTGATTCCTTCCATGGCACCCAGTTCAATGTAGATTCCGGCACAAATAGTATGCAAGTAGAAATGAAGCTGAATATCGACATCTCCCTGTGCTTTGAATTCGTCATTCTGAATGAATTCGGCAATGGTTTTGCTGCGTTGTGCTTCGGTACAAGGGATTGCTTGGGACCGAAAGGGATATGGTTTCATATTGGCCAAACTGTTGGGTGCATTCTGCAAGGCTTCTTGTATATCGGGAGGTTTGGTAGGTGGTGGTGTGGTCAGGACGGTCGGTTGTGCCGATGGGGCCGGAGTAGTAGTAGTAGTAGTAGTAGTGCTGGTGGTGCCGACGGTGGATGTAGTAGAAGAAACAGTAGTTTGCAGTGGATCTTGGGCGGGAAGGGGTAGAGGAGGTGGTGGTGTCACGGGAATACTGTTAATGGTAGATGCTTCGGTTGCTGTTTTGACTTTTCTTTGTGGTGGTGTGGTTGAAATAGCAATAGTACTTGTGTCTTCATTTGCGGTGGTTGTTGTCTTGGCTGTATTAGGATCACTGTAATTGTTATTGCTGTACTGCGAAACTGTGTGAAATTCTCGATGGACCAGTAGGATGGATATCAGCAGTAATACTGCCAAGAACAGAGATCTTCCAATGCCACATTTCTGCTTGGTGGGCTTCTTCCCTTTGCTAAGTTGGAGAGCGTTGACACTGCTGTTGTCGCCTTTGATGGTCAGATCACATTGACAATCACAAACACTCGTACTGCAATTCCAGTTCATGGTTCATTTTGTTCTGTGTTTTGTGTTATATACCGGGCAGACCCCGGTGATCTCTGAACACGTTATATACCGGGCAGACCCCGGTGATCTATGACCCCGTTTATTGTGGTGGTGGTTGGTTGGTTTTGGTTGGTTGGTTATCCTTAGGGTCAGAGTTTAACTAAAACCGAAGCCCCCTCTTGGGCCCCCACATTTCTTACACATTCTCTTTTATAGCAACGGATCCTGAATATTTTCCTCACATTTTCACACCTCTAAACTCCCGTAAGCTACCAAGCCACTTTCTCAGATGGAAAAATTCAACGTCTCACGTTGCACACCTCTATGCTCCCGTAAGCTACCACGCCTCTTTCTCAGACAGAAAAATCTAACATCTCACGTTGCACACCTCTAAGCTCCCGTAAGCTACCACGCCACTTTCTCAGATGGAAAAATCTGACGTCTCACGTTGCACATCTCTAAACTCCCGTAAGTTACCACGCCTCTTTCTCAGACGGAAAAATCTCACGTCTCACGTTGCATACCTCTAAGCTCCCGTAAGCTACCACGCCACTTTCTCAGACGGAAAAATCTAATGACCCTACTTTCAGCCAAACTTCAACAATATTACTATGCCGGCCCATATTTTAAGTCAGCTCGCCCGGTATATCTATTACACCTCCGGTGTCCTTTTATTGTGGTGGTGGTTGGTTGGTTTTGCATTTGGTTGGTTGGCTATCCTTAGGGTTAGAGTTTATCTAAAAACGAAGCCCCCTCTTCCCTCTTGGGCCCCACATTTCTTACACATTCTCTTTCATAGCAACGGATCCTGAATATTTTCCTCACATTTGCACACCTCTAAACTCCCGTAAGCTACCACGCCACTTTCTCAGATGGAAAAATCTAACGTCTCACGTTGCACATCTCTAAACTCCCGTAAGCTACCACGCCTCTTTCTCAGAAGGGAAAAATCTAACGTCTCGCGTTGCACACCTCTAAGCTCCCGTAAGCTACCATGCCACTTTCTCAGATGGAAAAATCTAACGCTTCACGTTGCACACCTCTAAACTCCCGTAAGCTACCATGCCTCTTTCTCAGACGGAAAAGTCTAACATCTCACGTTGCACACCTCTAAGCTCCCGTAAGCTACCACACCACTTTCTAAAATGGAAAAATCTAATGTCTCACGTTGCACACCTCTAAGGTCCAGTAAGCTACCACGCCACTTTCTCAGATGGAAAAATCTAACGTCTCATGTTGCACACCTCTAAACTCCTGTAAGCTACCACGCCACTTTCTCAGACGGAAAATCTAATGACACTACCTTCATCCAAACTTCAACAATATTACTATGCCGGCCCATCTTTTAAGTCAGCTCGCCCGGTATATCTATTACACCTCCGGTGTCCTTTTTGACGCTTTCTTGATGATTAGCCGTTGGATCCAACGGTTAGTTAGGGAAAGTGTGAGTCCAAGAGATCTTTCATCACAACGTTGTATCTTTGTTGTTGGCTCTCTCGTCCACTCATGCAACTTCCTCTCCGTTGTCCGTCCATGATATAATAATAGAAGAGACGACACCATGTCTTCGAACCAAGACAATAGTAGTAAGAAAGATGAAGAGCTGTCGGATGAGGAGATGCGCAAACTGCTGCAGCCCAATCCTTCTCACAAGGAGATGATTGAACTGGTGAAAACTCATTTTGCTTCATCTCCCGATGACACTGTAGCAGTCAAGAAGGATTTGGATTCGTACGACGATTGCAATTTCTGGATGACGATTGGCAGTACGGATTACTTGGTCAAAGTCCACAATGGCGTGGAATCAAAAGATACCATTCGTGCCATGCAACACAACGACCAAGATTCCGTCATTCACTTTCAATACGCCGTCATGAAGGCGCTCGGTGACGCTGGCATTCCAGCATCCAATCCCATCTTTCCCAACTCCAACAACAAACCAAACAACAACAACAACAACCAAATGCTCTCGGTGCCATTGCCCGTACTTTCCAAAGAACACTCACCGTGTCCACTGATTGTCAGTGTCTACAGTTGGGTGAAAGGAACTACCATGTCCGCCCTCTCTGTGTTGCCCGTCGAATGTCTCGCCGATGCCGGACGGTTGTTGGGCAAAATGCATCAAACATTTGATTCGCAACGCGACACCAAAAGTATGCCCAAATCCGCCAAACGATTTCATCAATGGGATGGAAAGCACACCAAAGAAATACAGAGTTTTGTAAAGTATATTGACAATGACCGTCGACGCCACATGATTCAAAGTATCATTGATGCCTTTGATACAACACTACTTCAAAACAATACTGCAGTACAATTGTTTCGAACCAGTGTCAATCATGGCGATTTCAACGATGCCAACATTTTGTTGAATGACAAATTCAAAGTATCGGGAGTCATTGATTTTGGGGATTCCGTGGAAAGGTTAGTTTGTCTTTGTTTGTTCTATTGTTTTTGTTTTGCGTTTGTTTCGTTTTGTAAGAACAACAAAGCTCGTCAAACTAGAGTGCCCGGTTGTACTTATTCAAGTACGACACACACTCCACAGGGTCGACTGATGGACTAAAATTGTCGTCAGAGGCTCGTGGGAATCGTGTCTTTTTTTACCATACCGGGAACTCCATTTCGAGGAGCTACAGAAATCCACGGCTTAAAGCACCGGAATGTCATCGCTATCATGGTCCTTTCTTTCACTTCCGTAAAGGCGTTTGCCATGACGAAGGTATTCAAACAATTATATCATATGTCATTTTCTCACAATGCATTTGCTTTTGTATTGTGTTTACATCACAGTTGGACCGTTCTGGACGTTGCCGTGGCCATGGCCTATGCCATGCTCTCGCCCTATGGCAAACCGGGTCGCGCCATTTCGGCGGCAGCTGCCGTCTTGAGAGGATTTCATGCCGTATATCCACTCACGGACGTGGAACGACAACATTTGGGACTCTTGATTGCCTGTCGATTGGCATGTTCCGTCACGCTCGGGGCATACTCTTACCAGCAAAATCCCGAAAACAAGTACTTATTGATGCATGCCGAACCGGGGTGGAAAACGTTGGAGTTCCTTTGGGGATACGACGATGACAACTCCAATAAGCGAGTACAGGTTGGCAAAGCCATGAATCGATTGTTTGACATGGCATGTGCCAAAGCAGGTGGGGCCAATGACGATGCTGTGGACGTCATTGATTGTGGTGACTTGACCGTGGCAGACGAGTACCTCCTCCTGGACAGTATGCAGCAGCAACGACCAGGCACAGAAGAACCACTATTGAAACGACAAAAGCTGTCCTCAAACACAAATAAGGACGAAAAGGTCATTACGTTTGTCACGGGCAACAAGAAAAAGTTGGAAGAAGTACAGCGGATACTGTTTGCGGACAAAGATGCCAAGAAACAGTCCACCTTCGCACTGACCAACAAGAAAATTGATCTCCCGGAACTTCAAGGCGATCCTATTGAGATTGCCAAGAAAAAGTGCGAGGAAGCTGCCAAAACCATCCACGGACCAGTCATCACGGAAGATACGTCGCTGTGTTTCATGTCGTTGAAGGAACTTCCAGGACCGTACATTAAATGGTTCCTGGACAAGTGTGGGCACGACGGACTCAACAAAATGATTGGCGCCTACGACGACAAGTCCGCCTACGCTCAAACAGTCGTAGCATACTGTGAAGGACCAGGAAAGGAAGTGCTGACGTTTGATGGACGAACCATGGGGAAAGTAGTGCCAGCACGAGGCAAGTTGGACTTTGGGTGGGATCCCATTTTTGAGCCGGACGAAGGTGGAGGGAAAACCTATGCCGAGATGAGTAAGGATGAAAAGGATGCCATCTCGCATCGGAGCAGAGCATTTGCCAAGCTCAAGGAGTATCTGCTCCAATCATAGCCTTTATCATAGAACAAGCAGCTCGTACATAGAACAAGCAGCTTGTACATGATACAACCGCCCGAGTAGATCGTAGACGCACGTTTCAAGAAGTCCAGCAAATGGCTGTTCCTGCAGTGATGGATCAGTTAGGGCGGTACCGCGGACTGGACCCGACTAGACTACCGGTAGCTAGCTAGGTGAACGGATGAATGATTTGAATCCAAGTTTTTTTAGTAGCAAGGGGAAGCGAAATGCTAGCTAGCCCACCGATACCTGGTATTTTTTTAAATACCGGATCTTCCTCGTCGCACTTACGGCACTTGGAGCAGGTGCGGCACGCTGTACCGTACCGGTACGGGTGCCATTCGAAAATATGGCGCCCCTACAAGAAGGGTGCAGACCGAGTCGAGTCGAGTCAGCGCTTGATACTCTAAGGCTTTTGCGCAAGTCTATGACGGGGAAGCCTTATTTCCAGTCGAATAGCCGGCGACTATGGCGACTGTTCCTGCAGTGATGGATTAAGGCGGCATCATACCGCGGACTGAGCCCAACCAAGTGAAAGGATGAATCCAACTAACTTATTACAGGTAGCAAGGGGACGAGAAGTGCTGGCTCCCCACGATACCGGCCTCATCGCGCTCTCAGCCGGGGGAACCTGCAGCCACACTGTCGGAGCTACATACATGTACGTCGGGGCCATTTCAAACAAAATTATGGTGCTCCCACACAGAAAGTTGCAGACCGAGTCGAGTCAGCGCTTGATACTGTAATACTTTTGCGAAAGTCCATGTCGGGGAAGCCTTATTTCCAGTCAAGCATCCAAGGACAGCCATGGCCAATGCAAGGCAGGCGGAGGGGATGAGGGCCTTCCAGAAAATCTTCACGTTCAGTCGTTGAAGACGAGGCAAGGCGGAAGCTTGAAAATGGACGCAGCAAGGAAGTGAATTAAAGCTCCATAACTGAAGCGCCTACAACTTAGGGACTCTACTGGCAACAGCTCTGGCAACCTTGAATATACCAGTACCTCCACCGCACTCAAAAGATTGTCAGAAGATGGAGCTGCAAAAGCCAAAAGAGGCTCCAAGGCTCCAAGGCTCCAAGGCTCCAAGGTCAGCAAGCAGCCTCGCTCTTGCCGCTCGGAACAATCTCGAACTGTCTCTTGCATCAAAACATTGAGTCACAAGTGCCCAGTCATCCTACAGCTCGTACAGTCGTATCATCCCGAGTGATCTTGTGCTGGGTTAGCCACTGGCTAGATTTTAGTAGGATTCGTAGTACATAGTCCAAGGTGAGGCATCAATAATGACCTTCTTTGAAGATGAGTACATGTAAGAGAGACCCTGAAACGCACGCGATGTTACTCGTATCACTCGTATCACTCGTATCACTCGTATCAATTGTATCACTTGTATCACTCGCATAACATGTATAACACGTATAACACGTATAACACGCACGCCAGCCAGCCACCGTGACCGTTCGAGTTTCGCAAAATGACTTGACTTGACTTGACTTCAACACCAACACCAACTCCAATCTCCACCACAAAGAACCACCATCCACCATGACAACAACCTCTCTTCTCTTGTTTGTTTGAAGGATACAAAGGTTTCTCTTGTTATTTGAAGATAGCACCATCATTGTGGGTAAGTAGGCAATGTGGTATGGCTTTGTTGAAGCCAAGAAGACTGTTCCTGTGGAAAGATGCTGATTTTCTTTCATTACTTCTGTTCCTTTTTCTGCCTCCTCTCTTTCGGCCCGTACCAGCCTCAGGCCTTCTCTTTTGCTTCATTACTTTGAGGCTCTGCAACGCTGTGGCGGCCTTGATTGTACATTAAACACTTTCTGTAGGCGTTATGACCCATGTAGTCTCAGCGCAGGTGTTAGCTTTTAGCTGTAACCGTGTTTGGTTACAGTGTTTGCTGTACGTGTATTATAGTTCAACCGTGTTGATTCAGGATCAATGTTATGAGGTGTGGCTCCCCTAAGTGATTGTCTGATTCGAAGAAGGCCAGAGTCATATGAGGCAAAAAGGACAACGAACGATTTTGTTGGATCGGATTGCAATCTGGTAAGTAGCCTATCTGCTGCTGTCACCTCCTGATGTGATAATTGAGAGATGGTACCGTCCGGCTTCACCAAAGACAAGAACACTCCTTGATGCAGACTATTCCTTAGAGATTCGATTTTTTTCGAAGTTAGATATGAGCCTGTCCGTTCATAAAATAAAGTCTTAACAACACTCGGCGAGAGGTGGTTCTTTAAGCATTGTTCCGCTAGTGTGATGTAGTCGCTCGACCTCCGGACAGTTTTGTCTCATTTCTCGTGGGGCTTCACTGGCCCATCCTAAGTGGGGGCCTCGTGCGGCTGAGGATTGGGTTGTTACCGGCCCGTTTCGGCGGATGTCTGCGGGTGTAGCTTTAATTAAACTTCGTTATTTTTTTTTCATCAGTCAGTGAGGTTGCTACATTCACAATTGATTGAGCGGGTCTATTTCTTCTCATGTATTGTATTTTTGCACTGGAGAGTTCAGATAAAGGTAAGATGTTTCATTTTCTTGATAGCTGTAGGTTTTGGCTTGCACAGTGCTTTTCTCGTCTGCTCCCAAAACCTAGCAAACTGGCAAACAACTTAGCAATTCGTTCACTATGTTTATACGGTACCAATCAGATCGTATATAAAAATCTCTGTTATACGTTTATCTCTTTTCGCTCATTGTTGTTACTTGTGTTGTATACTATTTGTTCTATTAAAACGGAGATGTGTTAGTATGATCTGTGCGATTACATCGTGAAACTGTTTACGGTATTTACAAACCGCGCTGCGTTTCAGTGGGTGTGTGTGCAAGCCACAACGTCTCAAAAAACGAACGATCTTCTACATTCCGAGCAGAACAGGATGCTTTTTCTGCTTCTGTTCCTGCCTCCAAGCAGAATTTGAAAGTCGGTGGTCAATCAAACATGCTGGGCCCAATCTCCGTTTTGCGACCCAGCTTCTTCAGCCTTCGTGGAAATAGCTGTGTATGACTCTCGTCCGTTCGCGAATCGCGGCTTGTCCGCAGACACTGGAGTGTCTTATTGCTTCGCATTATCCGTGTCGTCGTAGGAAGTCCGCTCTCTTTTGATTATAATGCGCAGCCTCTGACCTCCTAGAGCATGAATGCTGAAGAGTTTGTGAGGACTAAGTTGTGTGAGGAGCTGTGGCGAAAGAGCAGCGAGTTGATTAGTGTGGGCGGATCTTTGAGAGTGGTCCTAGGCTTTGTGCGCGGGCCTGGCTCTCTTCGGACCCACTTTCCTCGTCCGAATCGCTGTCCAACATTGACTTCCTTTTCTCATCATTTGGCGCGCGTCGGCGCTGGAGGCGCCGCACTGTATCTCTCTCGTGACTCGTGCTTGAGTTCGCTGCTAGGTCTCGTAGCAAGCTGTTGGCAGGGTTCGCGATTTCGAGCAGAGCTGGCCTGTGTCTAGCGGCTTCTCTTGCTTCGGACGACTCTTTCCTTCGTCCCGAGAGTCGCTTTGTGTCTACTACTCGGAATATCAAGTTACATCTCTATTCACTGGCGAACTGGGCAGCATGGCACGTGCCAATCGATGAGATTTTGTCCGTATGATTGTGCAGGCGGGTCTGCGTGCCTTAGCACCATGGGACTCGGCTCGAGAGATTGGTGGGAGTCGGGGTTAGTGTTGTGAGGAGCATTGCAAGTGCCATATTGCGCCATGGATACTTACACTTGGTACTCAAACTGTGTCAATAATCGTAGAGTAGAGTGCGGCGCTAGTCCCCAAGTCCTGGTCTGGCTGACTGTTTCTCTCTTAGACTGTATGTCCCTCCGTCGCTCGATAGAGGAGCGATAAGTCGAAAGAACCGAAGTGGAAAAGCCCCGAACGCGGCAGGTGTGGCCTTGCAACGATCCGCGACAATGCCTGCTTCTGCTTGAGATAATATCAGGTTGATCTGAGCGGCCCAAATAGCTAGCAACCAAAACGCAGACTCGACTCGAATCAGGGACTGTGCTCAAATGCCTTGCTTGGGGAGCTTCTATTGGATGGACAACTTCTCTCACCTGTCTCAATGGCACAGCAGCATATATAATAAGATAGAAGAAGATATACATCTTACGAATACATTGCTCTCAGTTTAGTGCACGATATCGGTGTTTAAGAGGTTCTTTAAGGAATGAATTGCTACAAATTTCAAACAGTGATCTTGCGATAGTTGCTCCGGGTACTGCGGTCGTGAAGAGCTAGACGATCGAACCTACGTTCGGTACATGTAACTCACGAATTCCTGCGCAGGATTGCCGCAGCGGAAGAGGCATGGTATCATGTTAAGGTGGTGCAAAGGTCCTGAAGGGGAGTGCGGCCCCCCCGGAATGTATGGTTTAGGAGTTCAGCCATTGGCAGGAGTGATTGCTTGTTTCTGATGGGTTCGGCCATGGCATTGCAGGAGGTGGGCTCTGGGAGCTGAGGTTGTGGTGTACTAGCTGTGCGGTCTGGTTGAATCGGTATTGATGGCGTGGGGCTGGGATGAAAGAGGGGCTAGTGCTGTGAGGTTCTGATACGCATAAACTACGGATTTTTTTGGACTCCATGGTACTTGCCGATAGCAGAGGGTGGGTTCAGAGTGGACGGTAGGGACAGCTTGGTGGGTGACAATTCGGCCAGTGCAGTTTAGCCGGTTTCTGGTCCGTTTGGTAATCTGGAGAGTTGCAGGGCCGTTGTTTGATTGCTCGCCCTTTTCCCGTAACATTTTATGGGACTGACATTGGGTTTGGGTTTTTCCGCAACCACAGTCAAGTTTGGTGCCATGTTGCGGCTAGGCTATCGAGCAGTTCCCTTTGTAGTATCACGCACTTTCATATGCAACTTTGCCTCGTCCTTCGCTTTTCGCAGCTGGAACATGTTGCCGCATGCGCTTGGTGTCGCTTGCCTCTTACCTGCACAGAGGAAGGTACTGTTGCTGTAGCCGTTGACGTTGAACTAAAGGCTGAAGGCTGTACGGCTGTACCGCTACTGTAC